CTCTATTTTCTGAATTTGAGCCAAGGGAGGTCTCCGACCGACCCATATCAACACTAATTTGGGGAGCCGTGATTGCCGATGGACCAACCCTTACTTTTTCCACCGAGCTCGTCACTGCGGGGGGACCAAGGGAGCTCGTCTGAGATTTCTTTTTTAATTTTTTTTCGGTTTTCTCTTGATTTTTTTGCTGTGAGTCAAGAGTGGGATAATGACCGGAATCCGGTTGTAGGACGGAGGTTACTGGCTGCGGCTGGTTATCGGAATCCGGCTGCAACAAGGTGGTCATCGTCGATGAGGAGGCCTCAATTCGAATTTTCTCAACATCTTCAACTATTTCCCCTTCTTCAACATCCGACTGCTAGGTTAGTTGTCTGATGCTGCTAGATTAGTTGTCTTAAGTTGCTAGGTTGTTTCTTTCTTGCTGCTAGGTTAGTTGTCTTTTGTTGCTAGGTTAGTTATCTGTAGCTGTTAGGTTAGTTGTGTTTTGTTGCTAGGTTAGTTGTCTTTTGTTGCTAGGTTAGTTCTTTCTTGCTGCTAGGTTAGTTGTCTGATGCTGCTAGGTTAGTTGTCTTTTGTTGTTAGGTTAGTTGTCTGATGCTGCTAGTTAGTTGTGTTTTGTTGCTAGTTTAGTTGTTCTTTCTTGTTGCTAGGTTAGTTGTGTTTTGTTGCTAGGTTAGTTGTTGTTCTTTCTTGCTGCTAGGTTCCCCGGAAGGGGGGGGGATTGGGCTGGATCCCCAACCTATGCATATATCAGGGCCCCAAAATCAGGGGCCCAAAATATCAACGAGCAAGATACAATAGTCTACAGAGCCTCACTAACCAAAATCAAAAACAAAAAACAAAAAAGAAAAACCGAAAAACGAAAAAGAAACAGAAACTACAATACAAAGTCGATCTTCGGGCTAACAGATGCCCGAAGTAAATGTCTAGACTAATGAAAGCGGAACGATGGATATCCAAGCTGGTCCATCCGTACAAGAGTGCGAAGGCGGAGTGGAGCAGTGTCGGTCCGAAATGTATGTGTGTCTGGTATGGTGGCGCCAAGGCTGGCCAGATAGTCGGCAGGTTTGTTCCCCTCACGGAAAATGTGCGTGATCCTGTGCTGGACAGACCGGAGTAGAGCTCTAATACGCATAAGCGGGTGCTGAATCTGCCACGAGCCCTGGTGGCCCGAGGTCAAAAGGGTGGCTACAGCCGCAGCGTCTAGCTCGATCCAAATGAGGCTAGAGAGCTGGACAGCCATCTGAAGGCCGATCTGTAATGCCTCAATCTCTGCATCAAAGCTCGAGGAGGCCTGAAGGGACGCGTGGAAGGCGGTGATGAGGGCGCCGCTATGGTCCCGGATCAAGCCTCCTCCTCCGGCAACTCCAGTGTGGCGATCAAAGGAGCCATCAGTGTTCAACTTGACCCACGGAGAGTCAGGTTTTAGCCAAACAACAGCTCTGGGCTGAGGGTGCCGAACAGGCGGTGGTGGGGCCACCATGTAGCGATGTGGTGGCGTGCAGCCTGTCCAGTCTCGGGCCGTGAGCCTGCCCAATGCGATGAGGAGTGAAATGTGTCTCTCTACCTACAAAACAATGTGAGAAAACATAAAAGTAATATCCCTATGCTTCACATTATTCCTTTCTGTCCAGGTGAACCAAAGGATCAGACAAGGAATGAGGAAGCCCACGTGTCTAAGGTGTGTGCTCTGTGAGAAAAAACTCAGAAGCTCAAAAAAACTGTATGTGGTGGGTAGGGATATATGTGTCCAAGTGGCAAAATGCTCCCACACTCTCCTCACAATCTCACTCTCTAGAAAAAGGTGGGTAAAGGTCTCGGTCTCATGGCGTCCAATCTCAGAACAACACACACACCGAGAAGGGAAGGAGATGCCTCTCGCGTGTAGCACAGTATCGACGGGTATCCGACACAATAGGAGGCGCCAAAGGAACACCGAAATAGTAGGGGTGAAAAGGTCACTCCAGATGGCCCCGAAGAGGAGGTTAGGCCGATCCCTCAGCCTGATCTGCTCCCACGCCGAGGTAGTAGAAAACACACCCGATTATGTAAGTCTTCACCTCATGCTATCTGAACCGTCCCCCGAGATAGGGATCTGCTGGATCTGATCTAATAAATACCCGCTAAAACCCGCACCAGACCCCAACTTCCTATCAAGCTTCCCCCTATCCCACGACCCGTCCGTCCAGAGGTCGCTCACAAGCAGGTAGGAGAAATGCGACACCTGCATATCCCTAGATAACGGCCTATCACCTACCCACCACTCATCCCAGAAACTAACATCGCCCTCGCCCAGAACCCAGAAAATGTGATCCTGGGCGCGCCTACCAACCCTAGTAAGGCGCCGCCACTGCCTACTATCATGATCAACAGCCGTCACCCAACAAGGGTGGTTGGCACTTCTAGAGCAGTACTTGCCGCGACGGTACTGAGCCCAAAGCGAGTTTCCTTCCCTGAAGCGCCACCACAGCTTGTATGAGAAAGCTGTAACTAACCAGCTGACCGGTTAGTTGTGTTAGGTTAGTTGTGCCTTGTTGGTGGTTGGCACTTCTAGGGCAGTACTTGCCCAAAGCGAGTTTCCTTCCCTGAAGCGCCACCACAGCTTGTATGAGAAAGCTGTAACTAACCAGCTGACCGGTTAGTTGTGTTAGGTTAGTTGTGCCTTGTTGGTGGTTGGCACTTCTAGGGCAGTACTTGCCGCGACGGTACTGAGCCCAAAGCGAGTTTCCTTCCCTGAAGCGCCACCACAGCTTGTATGAGAAAGCTGTAACTAACCAGCTGACCGGTTAGTTGTGTTAAGTTAGTTGTGTTTTGTTGCTAGGTTAGTTGTTGTTCTTTCTTGTTGCTAGGTTAGTTGTATTTTGTTGCTAGGTTAGTTGTCTGACGCTGCTAAGTTAGTTGTATTTTTTTTTTATAAAAAAATTGTAACCCATAGGATTTGAACCTGGTACCTCATGGAAGGTAGACAAGCAATGCAACCACTACACCACTCAAGGTTGAGTGTCTTTTGTTGCTAGGTTATTTATTTCAATGCAACGGGTCAATGCCGGAAGTCAACAATTCTCACCAGAAGTCAACGGTCAACGTCGGAGTCAACTAATAATTATTTTATTATTTAATTAATGTATATTTTAATTGATTTTGATCTAGACAAAATGAGTGGCTAAGATTGAGTCTCACATACTCATTTTAAGGAGTGGTCTCATTGGATTCGTCTCATATATATATATATATATATATATACTAGTTGTCTACCGACTGTGCAAGCACAGCCGGCCTATATCCAGTCATTAAAATTGGCCCGACCGTGAGTAATATTCACTCTATAATCGAGTTTAAATTTGTTGATCAACTGAATATATATACATATATAATATAAACTGTTATTAAATTGTAAGCAAATGAACAAATTAGGAAAATTGTTGCATTCACCAAAGACATGGAAAATATTGAATCTTAAGTAAACCCAAATTTATCATCCAAATTCCCGCAAAATATATCTATAGTAATACAAAACACTAAAATAAATTGTTATCACCTTGTACATAATTGATATCTCCTCTGTACTCCATAAAACTGGTAAACAACTTCAAATAAATCATCTTATAATATTAACTACTGAATCTAACAACTAATTAAATGACTCAGAATCTTCTAAATATCAATGACCCCCATATATCATGGTCAACATTGACAAATAGACTACACATTACCAATAGTGAAGTGTGAACCAACATTGTCAACGACAGACCAGGTATCAACATGAAATATTCACATAACAATCAGCATCACACCGCTTTCTAAGGTAACGCTAGGGATCAACATGTGAAACGCACATAGTCTAGCAATCAGGGGTTGACACCACTTTCTACACCTTTAGAAACATAAGCCAATGATAAAACTCTACAGACACACAACTTTCTACACCTTTAGAAACATATGATCCCTGTCCAAGACTGCTTCTAAAATCTGTATCAGTGGGAGAATAATTTGGTCTGCTTTTGGCTGTCTAGAAAAAAAAAACACGAATCTTGAAAAATTTAAAAGACGAATGCGGATCAGTCAAGCAACTGGTATAACTACATGAAACTAAGTTAACATTGAGATCACCCAATTGTAATTTATAAAGGTCAAGTCCATACTTCTTTGACTATCAGACAATGTAGACAATGTCTCTCCAGAACATTGGATCTAAACCGATGGGCCTGTACTAAGCAATCACAAGAAGAGAAAATTAATATTCCAAAAGTGTGAGAAGATAACATACCAGATTCCTAAATCCAAGGTATAAAGTACATCAAAGAAATTTCTTAGATTGCATAAAAATGCTCGCATCAATCCAACCCAAAAACCCTAACTTAACATTTACCTGTCAAACTTGAGAATTACCTGGAACTTAAGAATAAAAAAATTTAAGTTGTCACCTTCGCACTAAGGACTCACACATGTCAGAAGTGTGCTTCACCGTCGTTTTTCTTGGGCCAGTGGTGAGCGCTGCAAGAATCTTCCGAACTACCCCCCTCTGGAGAACCGCCTTCCACCCATGTCCAACCATGACAACACATCTTCTGGTTTTATCACTTGGCCCGATTAGAGGCTATTTCGATGGAGTATATAGGTAAATTAAAACAGGGACCATCCAATCTACCATCGCTTATTATCATAATCACCAATTTATCCTGAGATGTAATATCTATGAAAAATAGATGTGTATCCTCACAATCATATTGGTATTAAACGAAACAACCAAGAAAAGAAAAATTAAGAATGTAATCCCAAGTACTTTGCATCTGATATTGCACATTTTAATTCCTACCTCCAATCAAGTTCATATTGTCTAATACAACCTCATTATCGGATCTTGGTGGGGCCCATCAAAACCTCCATTATTGGCCCACTGTGACCTCACAACATTTAGACATAATATACAAACAAAAACAAAATATCACTTTTTTTTAACAAAAAGAAAAATTTTGAGGTGGGTTTCACATGATCTTACAGCTTTGTACGCGTTTTGTCACAACGACATGGTGGATCTTCGGCTGAGGCACATTGAGATTTCGGCGGTGGCTAGAGCTCTGCTCGTCAAGGGTTTGCAGTGCTGCTGTGAAAAGACCAAATTTTCAAGAAAATGAGCAGCGAGGGTTTGATCGCTTCCACTTTTTCTCCCTTTGTTTGTTGCCTAGCGGTTGGCGAGGAGAGAAGAAGGGACCAATCATCATGTTATACCTGCAATAAAATGAGCAGCGATGGTTTGATTGCTTCCACTTTTTCTCCCTTTGTTTGTTGCCTAGCGGCTGGCGAGGAGAGAGGAAGGGACCAATCGTCACTTTATACCGCGACAGCCACCATTTGATAACACTATCAACAGATTATCATTTCCTAAACACCTAGACAAAGATAAAGTAGCCAAAATCTACGAATATCCAACATTTAACATTTGTAACAAAATTTATACAATATTATAATCAATAAATTATACTCCTTTCAAACGAATATGATAAAAGCTATTTAATTTGTAAATTGACACTGTTAAACAACTTTCAAGGTTTGTAACTATTCTTAGATACGCATATAGATTTTCTAGAGATTAAGAACTATTGACTCATCCATATTCTTATAGCAAGGAAAATAAGAAACTTTCCTCAGTTATTAAGAATATGGTTCTATAAATTTATGTATTAAATGGTGAGAGTACCCAGTTTTATATTTTAAAGCCTATGTGCGAACTTGGCTGTGCAATGCAGAAAACTAAAAGGCGAAGCTCATAGCATGGTCCCCAAAGGTATACTGAAAACTATTGACTTTTATTGTTTACATTAGTAATGTCATTTTTAGTTCCTATTCTTTGTACACTAAGAAAGATCAAAATACAATATGTAGTCTTTTTTAGTTCCTATTATTTTTCGTAGGTTCTCACCCAGTACCCTGTACCTGAGATTGCATAAAGTAGGCCAAAGGAGTTCCTCTGTCTGGGCCAAGATCAACCAAATTAACTCTTTCCGGTTGTCCCATTTGCTCCTACAGGCACATTTTATCAATTCGACTTAAAAAGGAATTGCATGTTGCCCAAAAGCGAGGAAATAAAATTACAAGGACCAACTCAGTTAAAACTCAAAAGTATATTTCCCATGTATATTTGTTATTTTCAAAAGAGCTATATTTAGCTTTAATGTATGGTTAATTTCAGGTACTGAAACCAAAAATGTGACTTAACTATAAAATCATCAATAATCATACCTCACTGAAATAATCAACCAGTTGATTACCATGGGGACCCTCAAACACCAAAAAAGGAGAAGACAAGATCCATCAACTATGAACAAAGAGAAAATGTAAGAAGTTCAAAATACCAAATTCAACAAATTTGATGGCTTTGAGGATGAGAACAGAGAAAATGGGTGGACGTAGAGATCTCATCTTCATCCACCCCATCAATGGTTGATATGCACTCGATGCTTGATTCCATACCTGANAACAAACAAACAAACAAACAAACAAACAAAACAAAAACAAAAAAAATTACAATCTTTCCTCTCTCCCCTTCTCCACTTGTGGAACAGGTACGACTGAGGATGAAGATGAAACGCCGTCGGCTTTCTCGCCGTTTGGGAACGCCTGAGAATCGGTCCTCCAGCCCAGGCTCATCACAGGGTCTCACGCAGCCGGGTTATCGAGAAATAGGAACTGGTAATCGTCACCGAATTCATTATCCAGAACGTGGATACCATATGGAACGGGCATAGACACCCTCCTCTGGAAAGTGCCTACGGCGGGCAACATGGAGTTGCTCTGGAGAAGCCGTAGGGCTTGCAAAGGAGCGAAGTAACGATTAGGGGAAAGAGTATGGTCCCTTCTTCTCCTACCTCTTTCACAATGATCGTCCATCTTTTTTTTCTGACAGAAGTGGTGTGTCGCCGAAAGCAAAGAATTCTGTCCACTGTGATACAATACCCAGATTTTACGCGAAGCAAATCCATCAAACATCAGAAAAGATATGGCGTACAACCTCAGCAGATTTCCCTTTCTCCCACTATGCACAAAGTAAAATGGCACTTTCGTAATTATCGGCAAAAAGTAAAGGCACTTTTGGTTTAAAAATTGGACACTTGTCAGCCAAAGAGGCCCTATGCTAATTCCTTATATGTATTGGAGATATATATATATATATGCGAATTTTCTACTCGGATACACTCGGATATCGAAGAACTGAAATCATTTTGATTGTATTTTCTTTATTCTGATTCAGACATTTGTGATTTACACTTAGGGAGTAAGTGTTTATAAATAAGCCCACGGGACGTAGCCGGAGGAGTAGTTGATAGGTCAATTCATAGTTGAGGCTAGATTAGAAGGGAGTTCTAGTTTTTATAAGACCAAACTATGTTCGTAAGAGTTATCAATGAAAGAGTTCTGAAGGGAAGTGAGATGCTTCTCTGAAGAGTTTTTAAATCTTCGGTTTATTACTTCCGCTATATTTAGTCTTTATTCTTGTTGTTCTTACAAAGTTGAGCGCACTCGCGATAAATATATACGTATCATTTTAAACTCTTGAAATCGTTAAAGCAACCGGCAAGTGTTGCTTGTTACAATTTTTTCAATGTACTATGTGATATGAGCATGAGCATGCGTGCACTTTTGGTGTTGAATCTCACATATGTGCACTTGTTCGTGATTTCTGGGTCATGGATCGAGTTTAAAGATAAAACTGTTCACCTTTGTATATACGTTGTTGAACCAAAAAGTTTATCAAGTCTAATTCTAGCAATGCACTGTAATTCATATACTATGTACCTGGCAATAAAAAGCAATACTTTTGGCACATGAATTTCAACACAATCACTTGTTATGTCCAACAGAAATAGCTTTGGCACTTGATATTAATTAATATGCAGGATTATGTCTTTGCAGCTGATTTGAAGTCTTGAAAAAACACCAACATACATTATACAATCATACGCAGGATATATGATATTATATTCGTTTACTTTATTGCGAAATTCATGCCAACATGCAAAAACCACACAAGCAAACTCCACGCTGGAGCTTAAAGAGGATGAGGCTTCTTGCTTTTGCTCTTGCTCTCGGTCTTTCTGCTTCTATAGCTCCAAGACCAAGTCTATAACAGAGAGAGAGACAGAGAATTAGACAAACAAACAGATAAACAAGATAACTAAGGCTAATGATGGTGATGAGTATAATATTTCACATGTAAACTTACAATCAGAATCTGTTTTAACCCAATGCCCTGCATTTACAGGGGAAGAGCCTCTGCCAAATCCAGTGCAGAATAGTCCTATGGTATTCTTTTTACTCTTGTTGATACTGGCTGATTGATCATCATTGTTATGGCCAATGAGATGGTTCTCCTTACTGCAGTTGTAATTCTTCTTCTCGTTACTCTTCGTCACTTTCAAAATTTGCTTCTCGGCCATCTCCTCAGGATAAACCTTCTTATTAAACATTTTAACAAGCTTCTGCATTTATCACATCAGCAAATGCGCAAACTTTTAATCAGTACAACTAAGTTTCTCATTTGCATTCTCATCACAAAGTCGAAAACACTTGTAATAGTTCTAGCTCCATTTATGGCTAGTTACAAATTCTTATTTCTAAAAATAAAAGAACATTTTCTTTGCATCAAGCTGTTCTTACTACTACAAGATCATACAACAACCTTTCTATGATATTGCATTCGGATCGCCAAAGCACCAAGTGGATGTTTCCAAACTCAAAAGCACTTTGAAAAGATCTATCTTTATAGTAATACTATATTTTGAGACAGATAGAGTATTACTATAACTACTTAAAAGCATCTTACAAGCTCTATCAACTCATTATGTCCAAAAAAGCTACAAAGATCTACTTTTTTTATCACAAAATATTTTCATGGTTCCATCATCAAGAAACTCAACAAATTCCAAAAATAAAAATATCTACTACTATGTACTTCTTCAAGAACAAAATGAACTAACCTTAGTCAATTTCTTCTTTGTCGGCCGGAAAACAGCACCATCATAATCATCATCATCATTAAATCCAGCAGTTCCATCACTCGATTTGTGACTTAACCTCTTCACAAACTTCTTCACCAGACGAGCCACATTCCCTTTCCCACCCACTCCTTCACCTTTCTTCAACAGAGGACCATCATTTCCCTCCTTAAACAGCTCCTCAAGGGAAGTCCTCGTTTTCTTCACCTCCTCACGACCCATCTCGGCCAACTCTACAGGGGCAGCCAATAGATACTTCTGAAGAGGGCATATCTGTAAATTACCTTGATCGTTAATAGTTATCACACTAGCCTTGCTGCTCCTCTCGGACGAGTTGTGTACAGTCTCCGCATCCTCAGACTCGAGAAATTTTTCCAGCTCTTGGCTTATGAGGTCGAGGTCGTTTTCGTTGATATCGATCGGTTGACCGGTCAAAGGCTCGACTGGAGTTGGGAGGAGTGTCGGAGTTGGTGGGGCCGTGTGGAGAAGAAGATCGGTGCCAAATGTGCCGATTGAGAGGAAGTCAAAGGGCTCGTTTGCAGGCTCAAAAGCATTTGTGGATCTTTGATCTGCCAGAATCAGAAATATAATCGTATTTAGTCTCCTTAAAAACAGTTCTTTGAAATTCTTCGCTGTTCGAATTTTTTTTTTTTAATAGAGGATATAATATATGATGAGCCTTGCGGAATAAGGTATTACCGGTAGAGTCGTTTTTCAGAGGCTCTGTACTATTCTGCATGAGCTTACGGTGCATCCAACCCAGTAACTGCTTTNTGTGTATTCTTACAAGGGGGCCAAGATGGAGAGAAGAACAATGAGAAGATTACAAGAGGATGTGTGGTTTAGTTGGACTACAAAACCTGTCTCCACAATGTAGGAACAAATAGAAGGATGGGCTTAAAGAGCTACTACATGTGCATGTGCTTCTCTATAATTGCCTACTATGCCTTGGCTTCACCTGTGTTGGCGGATTTTCATGTCCGTGTTGCAACTAATGACTAACTCATGCCTACACATACATACACAGGATCTCCTATTTCTTTTTCGCTTTCTTTTTTCCATTTTTACTGTGTAATTTGCTGAATCATAAACCAGAGTTAACTATTTGGTCTATTTTGTTTTTCATTTTCAATCTCTTTTTCCTTTTTTTTTTTTATTTGTATAATCTGCTGTAAATCATAAACCAGAGTTAACTATTTGGCAATCAATTGATGCTTTTATGGAGTGGTGTGTCTATAGAATCCAAAAGCCTTTGGAAGTGCATGCTCAACCATGCTCGAGTGACTGACTCAGAGCATCTTCAATGGCCTTTCTATTTCCTTATTTTGTTGCTAAATCACACAAATAATCTTATGTGGCTTAAAAAATTTCTAGAAGGCTTTCTAGATCTAGAAGCCTTTCTAGACAACTTTTATTGTACATTAGAGTATTTATTTAATTTATTTATCTTTTTCAACCAATTAAAATTTTACACGTCACAAATGATACCACAATTAACATTAACAATTGGAGACATAATTTTTTAGTTTTCATTATCCATGCACTACAACACAAAATTGAACAATTTTCCGTTGGAGATGCTCTCATTAAGCCGTTCTCTTCTTATTATTAGCAATGTCCACTTGATATTTTGATATTTAGTCATGTCAATTTGCTCTTACGCTCCTTAGACAAAAAGTACGCAAGACGACCCTAAGATATACTTTCATGTATTATTTGACTCCTGCCCTGCTGGTCATATGGATTTTTATGCATGCATCGTAGTGCAAAGTTGAGATAAACTTAGTCCAACTAAGATCCCATAATTGAAGTAAATAACTCATCAAATGTTCAACTATTTGACCAACAAATTCTCAAATTCTACTACAATTATGTTGGCACAATATGTTTTCCACCGAATTTCAAGTCACCATTCTAGATTTTACTCATACGCTACAGTGGCACATGTGGTGAAGCCATAGGGATCATCTTTCCAAAAGAAACACGAGAGGTCTCAAGACACCATAGAATTTGATAAGTAGAGATTTCATCAAAGTCACCCTCAAAAGCACAGTATATAACTGTAAAACAGGCAAACTGCAAATTTGGACAACATATGACAAATGTGAACAAATAAACAAGTCCAATAGTTAATCTTAGAACATCGGCATTCAAAAAATCCTGACTTTGCATCTCACTAACAAACATAAGCACTCTTAAGTCATCCTCTGAGCAGCTTCCTTGGCTAGAAGCCTCTCTTTGGCCTTGGTCTTAGCCTGGGATTTTGATCCCATAACACCACCTCCCCACTTCTTACGGATTTCGTCATACTTATCATTGAAGTTAGCCTATCACAACAGCACAAGAAAATATATTAGTTTAAAGTCGTAGTTTCAACAGGAAACATGTAAAAACAGCATTTGTTTTTCAGCTTGAAGCTATTATTAATCTACCTTGATAGCTTCCAGGATCTTGCTGAACTCCAGCTTGTCTTCATTCTTCACGGAGGTCAAACACAAAACAGAGGCAGTCTTCTTATGAACAATCTACCGATACAACGCCAAAGAAAATATATTTAAGCAAAGATATGGAGAGATCACCAAGAAATAAATTCTACGATAATTGATTAAGTGTCACTTACTGTTCCAAGTCTAGCCTTGCCCTTCACAATGCAGTAAGGAATCTCCATTTTCCTGCAGAGGGCAGGGAGCCACACAACAAGCTCGATTGGGTCCACATCATGAGCAATTACCACCAATTGAGCTTTGTTCTGGAGAGAAAACAGTTATTAACTGGACATGAAACAGAGCAAAAGGGAATCGATGCAAAATAAAGACCTGCTCGATGAGGTAGGTCACATGGTTGAGACCATATTTGACCACAATGGGCTTTTTCAACTCAGGGGCTTTTCCTTCAGCTTCTGCTTGAGCTCTTTTCAAAAGACGCTCTTTCTTTTGGGCTTTATCTTCTGGCCTGTACTTGAGAAGCATCTTGAAGAGGCTTGTTGCTGTATTAGAGAATGGAAATGGGACTGATTAATATGACACCAAAAATGTACTTAGAACCATTTCTGAACAAGAAGTGGACTGTTGGAGTTTATATCATTTCAATCATAGATAACCAACTAACTGAAACAGAAATGTGCTACCTTCACAAATTAACATAGACTACTAACGTTTTTTCATTAACTTTAATAGAATTTAACCACAATGCTGACACAGATTAACTGATTAAGGTCTGAACTCAGAAAATATATAAAGATTATCTTGTAACAAAAAGCACACATTCCTTCCATACTAGATTGCAAACAAACACAATAGCATGATAATTCCAGATAATAATAAAAACATTAAAGGTTGGAAATTTGCATTGTATGTAAAATAAAGACAAAACACATTGTTCAAAGATTAAAAAATCATGATGCCTCACTGATCTTCACGCATACAACCACACATTACATTAATGTGTGAATAACTGTTTCTTTTGGCATAATAGTTACGTAAAACTAGCAAATACAAATTAACATTCAGCAAACTCCAAGCATAGAATTTAACATCAATCAATAGGAAGGATAAATTCATGCAATTAAAAAAAAAATAAGTACCAAGTAATACAACACACAAATTAGAAGCTAAAATGAAAGTCAAGTAATTTAAGGAAAAAAAAAAAAAAGATACAGGCAGATGACTTAAAAACAAAATGAAGGAAAAGGCTCGAATCTTAGACTATTCTTAGTAGAAACGAATTAAAGAAAATACTGAATTGGAGATTCTTGGTCTACAAATTTAGTAAACATTGATCCTATGAAAAAAATAGAAAACACGCGTGAAGAAATAAACAATTATTCAAGCAGTATTACCGGCAGCACCCCCACTTCCTACACTTCAAAACCTCAGTACCAAAATAAAAGAAAATCAAATACAAAAGAGATGAGAAACTACAAACCCAAGTTCTTGTCGAGAGTCTTGGAGAACTGATGAATAGACGGCGGGACCTTCAGCCTCTGCTTCAGTATCATCTTCTTCCTCTGGATCCTCACCACTTGCGGCCATTTCACGAATCTGTGCAGATCCTTCTTCGGCGGGAGAGCTCCTCCGATGCCGAACTGCTTCGGCCTCTTCTCGAACAGCGGGTTCACCACTTTCTCGACCTTCTTCTTGGCCACAGGTTTCGCGCCCTTCTTCGGAGCCTGCACGTTCAATGTAAGCACGAGAATTAGCCAATAGTGAAACACGAGCGCCCAGTACTGGGATCGGGAGGATGATGAATACCATTTCTGCTGCGAGTTCTGATATACGGCTATGGAACCCTAATGAGTTACAGTATGAAATGCCACCAAGATCGAGGAGTGATTGGGATTTACGTTTATATACTTGCACTGGGCTAAAACCCTTGGACGATTTATGTTAAGCTCTTAAAGGGCCGCTTAGTCCCCATATATAGAACTAATCTCATAATTTTTTCGAGTTTTTCCTACCCAAAAGCCCAAGTCTGTCGAGCCCAAGCCTAATTTCATTCTTCTTTTTTCTTTGAGAAAATTGCCATTTACCATTCAATTTTTATTACATAATCACACCCCTCATACAAATATTAACAAAATAGCTAGAGTTATCATATTTATTTGCACATATGCTAAATAATCACTAATTGGCTAATTTAATAACTAATTAGCGAGAGTCATGAAATGTGTCAGTTTTTTCCAAAAACCGAATTTCTATTCTATCATTACATAAAAAGAATAACCTTTTTACAAATTTAAAAACTTTATCCGCCAAAATCATTAAATATATCCTACATATTGTAATTGTTGGACAAATCTGAATAGACAAATAAATTGGCTCTTGTGTAAAATTTTTTTTCTCTTTTTCCTGTTTTTTAGTTTATCAAAATCGTTGTTTGACAATAAATATTTGTTTTCTTTTTCCTACTTTTAGTCTAAATCTATACGAGCTTATCTCTTCTGTTACAAAATCTCATTGCATACGTCTCACGTATTTAAAAAATCTCATCCCTTATCTATACAGATTTGAAAAAATAAAATAAAATAGAAACCAATTCATAATTACTATTAGAAATCCATTATCTTTAAAAAGAAAAAATAAAATAAAATAGAAACCAATTCATAACTACTACTAGAAATTTATTATCACTTTAAGAAGCTAATTTTCATCGGTCTAATTACTAATATTTTTACAAATATTATAATATCTACCTTAAGAAGTTAATTTTTATCGGTCTAATTACTAATATTTTTACTAATAAGCAGAAGTAGGAGCGATAGCCACATACTATGATTATGAATAAAAGGCCCTAGCCATCGAACCTGGCCGTCGTTTTGGAATACCAAGTCCACCAATAGGGCTCGGGAAGACGCGTAAGGGAAGGAATATGAAAGAAGCGAGTGACCCGCGAAGTCAAATCCTCAACGACTAAATAAGATAAAAGTCTTCTTCCTCTCGTCGACTGGCAGATATTACGAAGTGGCATTTCAAGATACGAAAGCTAATCATGGAGATCTTCTCGTATTTATTAGAATTTCTTTAGTGACATCCTCAATCAATAAAGACCTGGCTCAAGGGCTTGAGCGTCTAAATTCTACTCTTTTGTCTCTGGGGTTCGGAAGAATCTTTTTCCCCCGGGATTTCTATTAGAGAACGGCAACCGCAGGGGATATTTTCACAAGAGCAGCTCCCATTCCGACCTTTGCTACTGGGTATGCACCGAAATGAGTAATTCACTTGCGGGGGAAATGGACTTTCGTTCTATCTCAGATTAGATCATTGCTCCACTCGATGGGTGGTCGGTCTAGTGGTTGATTTTCCGGCCGTTTTTTTCGTGGAACTCAATCACCACCCTTTCTTCCGGTTGAGTGACTTCACTTCGCTTCGAAAAGTTTGTAGGTTAGAAGTTTTCTGCTTCGCTCCTCTTCCTCGCCCGCTCCTTCTCTTTACCGGGGGTCTTACTCGTCGATAGGCAGTAGCCGCCGTCTTGTAGCCTACAGTGGGGCTTGTTATTTGACTTCCCGCGATTTGATGAGAGTTTAGCTCAGAACTCGGAAAGCAAGCCTTAGCAAGTAACCTATAAGCCCACGAACAAATTCCCTATAACTCACGTCTATCTTTTTCCTAAAAAAACTTAAGAGAGGAGAAGCTCTCATCCACTATCTAATCGGAATCAGGAAAGCAATCAATCATTCGTACGGGGAAAAGAGGCCGGAGTGGCTTTTATGGGCTTTTTTCGTTCCTCTCCAACCCGTCGAGGTTGGTCGCCTCCAACTTTCTTCTCCTGATGCACTTTAAGAAGCTAATTTTCATCTGTCTAATACTAATATTTTTACAAATATTATAAGCTAACATACAAAAAAGTATAATAATAATTTTGAAATGGCGTGTAATCAAATTTTTTTATATTCTCTTATACATAATAATTTTACATTGTTTGACCCCGAATCTTTAATTTATAATTATTAAGTATTGTTTATCCTCCTCTTTAATTTATAATTATTATTTTTTCTTCCTCTTTTTAAGTAGGATCAATAGTAGTTTCCACTTCCGCCATTGAGTAACTCAAACTTGAGGTCTATTTATAATATTGTTAATTTAATATTGTTCCCGTGCATCGCACGGGGTAGACACTAGTTTTATGGTAAGAAAATTTCTCTCTCATAAATCATTAATCACCATTAAGTCAACACATTTTCTCAGTAACTGCAAACTCTAGCATGATTGATATAATGGAATGACATTTGATAGGAATGGAAGGAGTTGAATAATAGAATGAATATGGGAATGGAATGGAACCAGTTTTTCCATTGATGTGTTTGGTATGCAGAAAGAATTAGACCTGAATGGAATGACAATTCATTCTATATTATCATTTATGACTATTTTATATGAAAAAAATTAGTATTTATATTAATGTTATTTTTTTATTTATGATAATAATATAATTAATTTTTTAAAAAATATATTATATTTTAATAAATATATGTTTGTATTTTACAAACATATATATTGTATAATAAATAAGTGAATTGTGTATTCATATACATATTAGTTAATACAAATATAGCATTACATAAACCCCTATAAGCATATGTAGTCGAATATAATTTTTTATATTATAATTTAATTTACGAATAAATTTATAATATACGTGATTTATAAAAATAAAATAATAACTTTTTATAGTATTTATAAATGCAATTTTTTAGTTTTATTTTTATATAAGATGGTTTGGGCATGTGCGTAGGAGGCTTAGAATATTATAATAAGAACGCAAATCAAAAGTGTGGAGTAGACCTAAGAAAACTTTAAATAAAATAATAAAAAATAATTTTACATATTTAAATTTGAATGTTGATGTGTGTTTTGATCGAGCACGATGGCGAGTCGGCGACATCCGATCCATATAGCCGACCCCACTTAGTGAGATTTAACGGCTTCTTGTTGTTGAAATATAAGTATTTAATATATCTAATTAAAATATGAACAATAAATTAAAATAAGTTTTTAAATTTTTTATTTGAAATTTATTTTTTGGAATTATTTTATTTAATATAATTTAATCATAATTTATATTATATATTATAAATTTATTTATTATATTTATTTGTTAATTTTATTTTTTGAGAAAATGATTCCTACACATGTGGGAATGGGAAAAACCTTGCATTTGATATGGAATGTCTAATCCCATGGAGATGAGTTTTGCAATTTCCATTAGAATAGTCATTCATTTTCAAAAAATATACCAATCATGGGATAAGGAATGAGAAATGGAATGAACATTCCATTCCCATGTCATTCTCTCATACCAATCATGTCATGGCATGATTGGTATGATGGAATGGAATTTCGTAGGAATTGAATGAATTGAAGAATTTGAATGATTATGGGAATGGAATAAAACGTGTTTTGTCATTGATGCACTTGGTATGCAGAAGGAATATGATTGGAATGGAATTACATTATTATTTTTTATTATAAAATAAATAAAAGTTTTTTTTAAAATAATATACTTTTAATAAATTATATATAAATGCTTTTTTAATAATAAATAAAAATAAAGTAATATATTTTTAATAATATATTTTCAATAATATATTTTGAATAATATATAAAAATAGAATAATATATTGTTTAATAATATAAAAATAATATATTTTTAATAATATATAAAAATAAA